CAAGTTTTTGCGTGTCTGTTGTGTTGGTGGGCAACTTAGCTACCGAAGGGACGAAGGGATACTCGCCCGACAGAGATTATCATTTAACTTCTAACAGAGGTAAGAATGATATCAGCAAAGTCTGGATTAAAAATATTCTTAGCGTTATTTTTTGTTTACCAGTTACCTGCGAACTTGAGTAGAAGGGGCGAGTGTTCTAGATCTTTCTACGTGTCGAGCGCCGCAAACTTAGCTCACCGGTCAAAGCGCTGACGTGTGGCAAAAAATGCGAATAAGATAAAAATAAAAGATTCGGTAATGCTAAGAACAATTTAAGTAAGCTTAGAAATATGTTTTATGGTCTTATATTCCAGTAGAAATCGTTAAACTTCGCCGCCAGTGCATCGTAAGAAGTAAGCCTGATATAAAAGCTAAGTGATACCCAAAAACAACATCTCACACAATAAGTCTTGCCGCGAGGCCAATTTCGGATTTGGGTTTGTGCCAAATTTTTTACTGGTAGCACGTTTACTCGGTGTTCAGAAGAAATCAGTAGTCCATGATGTATAAACAAGGTAAAACTGAATCATGTTAGCACATTTAAGACCTGAATATAACTTAACACAGTTCGTCTCGTTAATTAAGAGTAGTTTCTGTGTTGTGTCGTGAAGACAATATGGCGGCAATGAACACGAAGCAAAATCTTATGTCCGAGTTCCTTGTCATTCAACCCGAAAGATTAGCACTCGGCTGTTCTCAGCTGTTATTTCCGTTTATGTCCACGAATTAGACTGAAATCTTTACCTCCATGTTGACTACAAACATTGATCGCTCAATATTGAGCTTAATCTTCGGCGGTTCTTACGCTTTCTCTCCCGATAGTACAGTAAGCTACATTGCATTTCCATTTAAAATTGAGTATCATGAACCAAATGTCACTGCAGGCATACCCGTTGTAATGCATGGTCCAAATGATTCCTTTCTAGACATGGAGTGTAGGTTCCCTACAGCCTTCTAGTTCACTGGCGTTGACATAGCCAGTGAACAAATAAAACGCCCTTCCATCTCGTCTTTATGCCATTTAAACTGCCCCACAGTCAGGTGCGAGTGGCCAGGATCAAAACTCGTGATTGGCTCCATAATATGATATTTATTTCACGAACCAATGAAATCAGGCATCTTGGCATGTGACTACCACGTGATAATTACGCCAGTGAATGGCTTTCCCTATTCTATGTTCAAGAAAACATTGCTTTTGTCGAAGTTGTCGTTCATTTTAGAATATCAAATGATCAATTTTCCTGATGATTTTGTGTAAATATTTCTTAGAATTAATGTNAAGAAAACATTGCTTTTGTCGAAGTTGTCGTTCATTTTAGAATATCAAATGATCAATTTTCCTGATGATTTTGTGTAAATATTTCTTAGAATTAATGTGCTATATGTCGTGGACTATTGCTGTGTACTTTTAAATACAAAGTGAACTTAAATTAATTGTATCCTTCCGTTCCATGTCAATGCCACCTGAAGGTGTCACCTCTTCGTAAATGGGTGACTAGAAGTATATTTTCTTTAAACATGGAAGAGCAGGGCATACACATGTTATCACTGGGTAGTAAAGTAGGAAAGTGCAACAAGACTTTTTGAGAATTTGCATTTTGCGGTTTATATGACAACTGCTCCCCCCTTGCTTGGAAACAAACATCTCTCAGACAATTTCCGGCCTTCCACGCATCACGCATTATGTCGTGCAGCATATGAGTTTTTTGCTCATTTCTACTGATCTGGTAAATGAAGTCTGGAGAATTGCAGGAAAGTCTTTTGTGGTACAGCTACTCATTTGGGGTCTGTAGTATTTTATACAATCTGACCATGCTGCTGCCATTGTAATAACCAAAGGAAATGAACTAGTGAACTAGACTGTTAACTTTTAAAATACAGATTCACTTAATTAAAATAAACATACAATTTCTGGGATAAAGGTATACTGATATGTGATACGCATGGCAGGTGTCTTACAAGTACTTAAAACTTGAACCAAATACATAAAACTTGAACCACTAGTTAGCACTAGAGCAATCTTTGATCTGAGTGAAGGGGTGCACCCAAATTACATTGCAGATGCACATTTCAAACCATGTGTATTAGCCAATTTTCGTTGTCTCCTCCATACCTCTATTATTGTGTTATGGTACAACCAGAGGGAATTTGTTTTGTAATGTTACATGATCTGATTCATTGACAGTCAAAAGTGTTCCATTTTCATTGTTTTGCAAGATGCAAGTAACAATTCTCTCCCATAGCTACACTGCTCTTTGTGGCTTGAAAGTAAAAGAATCTGCTTACTCATGTGATGGGTAGCCCATGTGAATACATGTATCTTTGGAGTATTTAATTTCTGAGCAATTAGTTTGATTTTTATCAGCTCTTCAATGATGACTCCTGAACAAAGCAAAATTTAAACTCATTGCTATTTCCCTGTGAAACTGCACAAAAGGAGCTTTCTAGAGATCTTTAAATACCACCTCTATTTAAAGCCCTGACCCAATCAAACTCATTAAAAAATCTTCACTTCTAGTATATCACTCTTTTTCCAATTTGATTTTATGTGCAATTTGGTTATTTTGCATTATAGCAAGATTTGTGTCAGACACAAAATGTTAGAGGTGGCATGTAGGACATAAAACACCAAAGGATGCTCATCATAGTGCTTTTAAAATAATGTTTAATCCAGTACCTTTATGACGATATAATATTGTAGTCAGACTTAAGTGGGAAAAATGATTTACACCCGATCACAAGTGAGCTCTGAAGTCTCTTTGATTCATGCATGGCATTGGGCAAGGTGAAAACTTAAAATAACCCAGTTTGTTTTCTTACTTGTATGAGATATTTTATTGACAAGCAGCCCTTGATTATTGTATCATTCTTGTAGGTGTAGGTGATTCATGATAATTCCATTTTGTTTCTCATTTTCTTGTAAGTAATTTTAGCATGGAGTGTATTGACCTACATCTGTACAGTCATGCACATGTACTTAGCATTCCTCTCATTTATTAAACTACTGTGCAAGCACATTTTACAGCTTGCTTGATAGGCAAATATTCATGGAATGCCTCAAGGCTTTCCATCTTGTCAATCTGTTTCCTGCTGTGCTATGTAAATGATTGTCCTATTGTTATCTTTAAGTACAAACTGAAATGCCACAATGAAAGTTAACATTCTCTTGCTCACAGGTCAGTTCAGAGATTAGCAATTTAATACCATATAAACATTCTTCTGATTGATAAAAGGCTGTTTTCATTTTTTGTGCGAGTCTGATTACAGCATTTCTTTAACTGTCAGTAAGAAACTTGACCCATAGAGTCCTTTCAGTTTTTACAGTGTATCTGAAACTAAATTAAAGCAGTTATGCTTGTATGGTTTTAGTGTGTTTGTATTGACTATTCCATGAAGTACAGAAAGTATCTTTTTTGATACTGAAGGATGCTGTACATGTTTTTAACAAAGTAAGAAAACAGTAGGATACAAAATTTCTACTTCAACCTTGATTATAGACTTCACAGTATTTATATATACACATAAGACTTTTTTCCACCTTACAGAGTAGACATAGGTTAAAGTCAGTGATTTTAAGCCTCAATATTGTTTTATTGTTAACTCTGTTCACAAAATTAATACTTTCAAGAATCTATTGCTCACAATAATTGTGACCTGATTTGGTAAAGTGTACACTAATGGATATCTGTTGAATGGCTTTTAAAAAAACAGATGTTAAACCATAACAAACAGCCATCAAGAGAGTTTAAATGGTTTCTCATAACATTCAAATGTTTGAGACTCACTGAAGAGTTAAAATGATTTCCAAAATCGTTCTAATTGATCAGGGTGCAGAAAAAAAACACTTGAGTTCCAGCTTGCCCGAAGAACAAGTTTCGATATTATTGCTTGCCCTGGGCAAGGCTTAGTTTGCTTTTTTAATGGTTTAGTTGGCAGACAACTTACCTGATCTCTTGCCTGTCAGGTAAGTGAGAATGAAAACTAAGGTGCCTACCCAGAAGGACACTTTTTTTGAGCCCAGTCCAATGGTATGGTGAAATTTTGAAATGGATAGATAATAAATGGACAAATATTTGCCTAGTACACATAACTGTTCAGTGGTAAATATTACACAGCTGGGGCCATGTGACAAAATTTTTTGCTAAACATTTTGATGTTGTGGGCTATAACTTAAACAGTGCCAGAAGTGGAAAGAGCATATTGAAAATGGCAAAGTTTGAGGCTCAAGGCATCAAGGAGAAGATTTATACAACTGTTTCAATGTTTTGAAAATTTAGAGGATATCAATGGAAACTGTTGCTGGAGAGCAAGGTCATGCTCTCCAACAACTTTTTCCATACAAATCTTTTTAATTTTTTAAAAATTCAAATCGTCATAAAAACTAATTTCTTAATGCCAGGAGCCTCAAACTTGGCCATTTTGATATTTTCGACATGCTTTTTTCCATTTCTGGCATTATCAAAGTTATAGCCCATAATTTTATGAAAAGTCGGTCACGTGATGGCCAAGCTGCAAAGGGCCTCCCCACCCTTTACTAGGCAGACTCTAAGTCTGGTCCCAAAATTAGTGTCTTATATTTACATGTCCCTCGAGCAACCTCGTTCCCAGGGTCTCCCATCTTACCACCGCCTGGAGAGAGCGAGGTCTCTCCTTGCTCACTGTAGGGGGTGGTAAGATGAGAGACCCTGGGAAGGACGTTGGTACCTTGAGCCTTGAGCTCATAATAAATCACTTTTGAGTACACATCTCTTTTAAGGGGACAGGGATGCAAAAAAGAAATTTTTGTTAGAACCCCTATTAACCCTTTAAGCCCCACAGGAAACTGATGAAACACAAGCCCCTATTCCCGGAACCCAACCGGCATTGCAGGACTTAAATGACTGATTTTTACCATGCTTAGAATTTTGTCTTATATCTTAAAAACTACAAGGCAAAAGACAAAACACTTAAGACAAAAAATGTTCAGCAACAATTTATCTTTAATTCTAGACTTAACCTACAGCAAACGGTTAATCATGAAGTGAACTGAAGCAAGAGAAACATTGCACAAGTCTGAAAAATGTCATTGTTTACACTGAAATACAATGTTACCTTGCAAAAAAATGGCAAAAAAAACGCTCAAATACTAGCTAAATCCTACTAAATGCGAAAGCATCAATAAATATGTCTATGTACAATAAAATAGATTTCAAGTAATGCCTCAAGTTCTGGTTATTGCGAAGTAAACGAAGCAAATGTTCAATAGGTGAAATTTGAATTTCGCGCGCTTGTGGCGCTTAGCTTAGGTCACCGATGTGATTCGGGAAGCATTCCAAGCAAATCCGCTTGTTGCAGTGCTGGCAACCCATTCTGCAAAACGTTGTCCTCTTTCGTTTGAGGCATCGTTTGCATCGTCCTTTATCAAAAGCAATCGGCCAATGTCCAGCCTCCGTCTGCCCAGAACTTGCTGTTCTTCCACGGCTCGTGAAATCCCCGATAAGGTCCTTCGCAAGTTCGACTCTAAATGTTAGTTGTGTTCTTGAACGATGATTTACGGCCTTTTTCTCCAAGATAAACGCATTGACAATACTTAGATCGACACAAAACCAAAAAAGATAGCGCCACCATTTCCTTGATTTAGTTCCGATAGCGTAATACCCACGCAACTGATCGTGAAGGTCTACGCCTCCCATGCTCTTGTTGTAACTCTTCACAACGGGAACAGTCGGCACTTGAATAACAGTTCCATCGCGCTGCTTACGGTTTACAGTCTCGTTTCCTACTGGATTACTTTCAGTACTGATAAAGTGAACAACCTTTTTGTCCTTCCAGGTTGTTGCAACGACATTGTTCTTTCGCCTAAACAGCGCCTCTCCTTGCTTCAATCGCTTGATGCGAGGATTGTTTGCCGCGAGATCCTTAGGAAAGTCTTTCCTGTTCGCTCTTGCCGTTGCACATGAATAAATTTGATCCTCCAACAGATCTTCGGCAAGCTTAACAGTTGAGAAAAAATTGTCATAGAAGACATGATGATTTTTCCCAGTAAAGCTCCGAGTTAAATCGTGAACAACACGATAACCCAAGTTTTGTTCGGCGGCGCCATCTTGTCTTTTTCCCGTGTAAACTTGGAAGTCGCAGACAAAGCCACTAGACGCTTCGGCGCAAACCCACACTTTAATTCCACGCTTAACAGGCTTCATCGGCATATATTGTCTCATTCCAAGCCGTCCCTTAAACTTTACCATCGCTTCGTCGACGGATAAATCTTTTTGCGGTCTCAGTTCCATTTTACAACATTGAACGACGCGATCAAGAACAGGGCGAACTTTGAACAATTTGTCATGTCCAGGATCTTCACGAGGAGCTTGATTTGCATTATTATTTAAATGAAAATACTTGGACAATTTGTCAAAGCGATTTCTCGACATCACTTTTTTAACGAAAGGGACGCCAATGAGTGGATCCTCACTCCAGTAAAGGCGAGTTGCAGGCAACCTTTTGATGCCAAACAGCACGTGAAGACCGATAAAGGCTTTCATTTCATCAAGCGTTGTCTCATACCATTCACGGTCGGGCTTCGTAGCGATACATTCCCGTGCATGGCGGTTCGTTTCAGCGACGATTTGCTCTATAAGTTCTTCTGGAAACATCAAATAGAAGAAATCGATTGCAGTTCCATCTTCTGCAACTCCAGAAGTTGGGCCAGTAGCCTCAGTGAATGGGGAGACCTCAACAGGGTTTGAGTTTTCGTTCCACGTTTCTTCTTCGGCTTCTTCCTCTTCAAAGTCTGAAAGGTCTTCGGTAGAAACAGAAGAGACTGAAATATCTGACTCCGAGTCACTCTGATTTCTAGCTTCAAATCTTTCTTGTCTCCAAGCAGCAACAGTTTCTCTTTCTTCTTCGTCAAATCCCAAGAACACGTCCTCTTCAACTTCGCTTTCGCTAGCGGCCGCCATCAAACTTCAGTTGCGATTTTCATCGTGATGCTCAGTGAAAGCTTGTCACGTTTGACACGTCAAATGAAAGCTAAAACTCTTTTCTATTGGTTGAAAAACAATGGAGCAGCCTAGCAACAATATAACAGGTCTTTTGATTGGTCAGAATGAAGGCAGGTCTCAGAGTGCCAAATGGCACTCTCGGGAATAAGATGCAGTCACGCAAGAGTGCCATATGGCACTATCGGGGCTTAAAGGGTTAA